CCCACTGCCTAGGACTTGGCCCTTCAGTTTTGGTCCATTAAGTGGGACCAGTTTCTTCTCAGATCTTGCTTGGAATAAGGACCTGACATGGTTGTCCTGCATCTGTCTCAACAGTTAATCCTGGAAAGAGTTTCATTACCTTTGTTTTTATAGCTTTTCAGAAATACGATGGACTAATCAGTACACAACTGGGAAAATGGTTGTCCTGTGCCTGGTTTCATTTCCTTGGTTGAATATGTCCTCTAAATCAGGTTTTATTATTATAAACTGGCTAATGCTGGACAACTAGCCATGAAACATTAGCTGTACTCAAGTTAAATCTGCTGATCTCATCATCTGTGTAACGCCCTGTTAATGTGATGTGGAAGGCAGCAATGACTTCTGTTTGCGTACTTTTGTTGAGTTCACGTTCACATGCATTATTTGATGAAAAATCAAATATCTATACCCCCAGAGAGGCAGGGGCTTCCTTAGGGAAGCAGTGAGTGAATGACAGAGTTTAGGACTTTAATCAGCCCATCTTATTCCAACTTTGGTTCTTTCTTCTCTGCCATGCCACCTTAGTCCCTCCTCTAATAAATAATTTTGCTTGGAGAGTTTAAAAGCTGTCATGATTAATTATAGAAGTAATAGTTGTTATTTATTTTGGTTCTTTCATGGGCTATTTTTAAGCATGGTGTTCTTCCCCTTTATCCAACTGTACACCATTCATGAAAAAATTATTAGTAAAAAAAAAAAAAAAGCCTTGTGAGCCTGGGGTTGTGGCTCAGTGGCAGAGCGATTGCCTAGCATGTGTGAGGCACTGGGTTCGATCCTCAGCACCATATAAAAATAAACAAATTAAATAAAGGTATGCTGTCCATCTCTAACTTCAAAAAAATTTAAAAAAAGACAAACTTGTATTATTACTTTATACTTAGGCACATAATTTACTATGTATTGTAAAAATGTTGATGATTATGTTTTATGACTTTAGAATAAGAAAATTGTTTTCAGGTGATCACAATTTGTACGTGAAGAGAGGAAAGAACTTTCTTACTCACCCAGCATCATTCCCTGGGAGATGTGTGTTGGGGGGTGTGTGTGTGTGTTTTGCAGTGCTGGGAATGGAACCCAGGCCTTGTGCATAAAAGGCAAGCTCTTCCACTACGCTGAGCTAACCCCCAGCCCCTCTTTTGTGTACTGTATACAAGTTTTATTTTATTAGCCTTCTTGCTTTGGTGAGATGATTTTTCTTACCTTTGTGCTATTTTTTTGTTGTTGTTGTTTAGCTTTCTAAAACATTTTCCCAGTATTAAAAAATAATACTGGGAATAGAACCTAGGGTACTTCACCACTGAGCTACATCTCTAGTGTCTTTTACTTTCTATTTTGAGATAGGGTGTTGCTAAGTTGCCCAGGCTGGCCTTAAACTTGCAATCCTTTAGCCTCAGCCTCCTGAGTCACTGGGATTATAGGCATGCGTCACCAGACCCAGCCTGTTTAACTTTTTTAACTTGAAAAATATTAAGATTTGAAAAAGAAGTATATGAACCCTGAACTTTTAGGGTTTCAGGACTTTTGATTATGTACAAGATCTTCTTGAATTGAAGAGGAAGTAAATTATCAGTGGGAACAAATGAGTCTGTCAGTGAGTGACGTCTAGACTAAAGATGACTGTGGTCTTGAACATATGGGATTCTTTCAGGATCAATGAAGAACAGATGTCTGAATGGGGAGTAAAAAGAAGCCAATGAGGGGCAGGTTATAAAAGAATTAGTTCTTCTGGTAGTCAGACCAAAATACCTGACAAACAACTTAGAGGAGGAAAGATTTATTTTGGTTCATGGTTTCAGAGTATTCAGTACATGGTTGGCTGACTCCATCGCTCTGGGCCTCAGTGAGGTAGAGCGTCTTGGTGGAAGGGGGTGGCAGAGGAAGGTGCTCAGCTCGTGACATTCAAGAAGCAGAGCGAGACAAAGACAGTGCCAGAGAGAAGATAAGTCCTTCCAGGGAATGCTCCTGGTGACCTATGGGTCCCACCTCCCAGGAGTCCATTCAGCCATCCTGGATTGGTGAGCTCAGATCCTCAGGACTAGTCACTTCCCAGAAGCCCCGCCTCTGAGCACAGAGACTTGGAGGGATAGCCTAGTTCTAAACCATGACAGTTAGGATTTGAAGTTGAATACTTATAAAAAGTAGCTAACATTATAGGCTTACCCCTGTTTTAGTGAGTAGGGGTCTGGAAGACCTCAGGTTTCAGGTATTCCCGCCATTTTGAGCTCGCCTTTACCTTGTCAGACTGAAGGTGCTCGGGGAAAGAATCAAATCAGACCTTGACTTTTAGAAGTCGTCTTTGGAGCTTAAGAAAATATGTCTTGTCTTTGATTTGAAAGAGAGGCCCTAGAGCTTGGCTAAAGTTAGAAAATTGGAATAATCGAATAGTTCAATAAGTCATTGTGTCTTTGCTTGGAATGTGGTCACAGACCGAAGAGGCGCTCTCCAACCTGGATGGAAAGATGGAGCTTAAGAGAGAATGGGAACGAATGAGACCAGGGGACGTGGACAGCTGGGCTAAGTATGGATCCAGGCCCTCTGTTTAGAAAATGCTTTTTAACAACCAAGTATTCCATTTTCATGATCCACTTAAAGATATCTTTTATTTTATTCAGATTCTGTGCATTTGTGTTCAGGAAGGAAGGAAGAAGGCAGGAAAGCCAGCTCCTCCGGTGTATGGGCTGAGAAGGGGAAGTTCTTTGAAGTGATATTGTTATATATTTTTTTTAAGTTTAAAGTTTACTTTTTTTAATTTTGGAAGTTTTCAAACATATGCAAGAATAGAATAAACTTCTCCATAACCCCAATATAGTTACCAAACCTTACTACATTTTCTGAAATGCTTAGACTTTACTACATTTTCTTGGCTACAATGTTTTAAAGCAAATCCTGGACATTATGTCATTTCATCCTTGCTAACCTCAATGAGGTCTCCAAACAACAGGGACGTTTTCTTACCTAACCACAATGCCATTGTTATGCCTGGTTCCTAGTTTATAATCCGATTTTCCTGGTTATTGCCAAAGTATCTTTTTCATCTATAGCAGTTCTGTTCAAATCACTGTCTAAACACATGTCACTCATTGTATTTGGTTATGTCCCTCAATTTTTGTTTTAAATAGTCTGCTTTAATTGAAGAGTAGATTTCTTGTATCTGTTTCAGGATTAATTACCTTGTCATCTTACACACCAAGTAGCCAAAATAAATTTAGAAACTTGACTCTGCATACACAAAAAAATGAGAGTGATCAGGCAGATGGATGCCCTGGTACCAAGAGGATGGTTTTGACCTCGTGGACTACCCTGGGCAAGGGGTTGCCTGGTTCATACTTTGAGAAACACATGCCTCCAAGGCTTGATTAGATTCAGATTTTTTTTTTTTTTTTGGTAAGAATATTTCATAGTGCTTTATACTTCATGTTTTATCAAGAAACACACCATATCTGGTCATCTCATTTATGTATTCTAATATTCATGGGAGGGGCCTGAGTGAGACATTCTACTTTTTGGCTATTTAGTAACAATATTCCTTGCTATTAGTGGTGGTGTTGAGTATAAAGTTTTGTCATCTTTATTAGTGTTTTATGGTATTTTCAGTTTTTCCTATTTAATAAGAGGAAAATAGCTTCATTGTTTAGTTTTTAATTCCTTGGATAATTGTGATATTTGACATATTTCCATGTGTTCACTTTTCTCCTATTAATTTCTTTCAACCCATTCTAATTTGATCTTTTGATGACTCTAAAAAAATAAATATATGGGCTGGCATTGTGGCTCAGTGGTAGCGCGCTCGCCTAGCAAGCGCGAGGCCCTGGGTTTGATCCTCAGCACCATATAAAAACAAATAATAGTTGTGTCCAACTACAACTAAAAAATAAATATAAAAAAATAAAATAAATAAAAATAAAAATAAATGTGGACAAAACTCCTTATAGATTTTCTTTTTCACTATAGTGTTTATCTACTCTACTGCCTTTTACCATTGATTTTGCTATCTCTTATATATTGAAGTAATTTTATTTTTACTTTTTGGTACCAGGATTGAACCCAGGGGTGCTCAACTATAGTGCCACGACCCCAGCCCTTTTTATATTTTAATTAGAGACAGGGTCTCTGAGTTGCTTAGGGCCTTGCTAAGTTTCTGGAGCTGGCTTTGAACTCATGGTCCTCCTGCCTCAGCCTCTGGAACTGCTAGTATTGCAGACGTGCGCCACCATGTCTGGTTACTGAAGTAATTTTGATAATTTATTATATAATCTGGTGATCTTTTTCCTTGTTAAGTCTGAACTTCTATAAAAATGAGGAGAGGCAGCACCAAGAGTTGGAATCTTAGAGTTGAAAATGGCTGCAGGATCAGCTGTTCCCCTGTATTTTTTTCCTGCTCCCCTCAAAAAAAGGCCTACGTAGTTTCTGTCTTAGGCACAGTTGCTACCAGAGTCGAAAATCAGAGACTGACTTTCCCAAGTCTTTCTGCCCCTCATTCTACCACCATGTCTCATAAGCACCTTAGTTAAATTTGGAATAATGGAAGACACTTAATGGTCTTACCATAGAATATGTGCTTTGTGGAGATCTGCTTTCTATTGGTGTACTTTTGCAGCTCTTAGTCTTTAAATGCTGTCTCTTATTCATTCTAATATACCTTGAAAATTTAGAACTACTCTTTAAGAATTTAAAGTATTGTTGCTTTTTTTTTTCTTCTTTTTTTGTACTGGGGATTGAAACCAGGGGCACCTTCCCACTGAGCCACATCCCTGCCCTTTTAAACTTTTTATTTTGAGGGAAGGTCTTGCTAAATTGCTTGGGGCCTTGCTAACTTGCTAAGGCTGTTTTCCAGTTTGTAATCCTCCTGCCTTCAGCTTCCTGAATTGCTGGGGTTATGGGCTAAAGTATTTTTGCTTTACTAGAGTAAAAAAAAAAAAAAAAAAAAAAAAAAATCTCATTTTGACTATTTTGCCTAACAGGAAGCCTGCAGACCTGCAGAACTTGGCTCCTGGGACACACCCACCATTTATAACTTTCAACAGTGAAGTCAAAACGGATGTAAATAAGATTGAGGAATTTCTTGAAGAAGTCTTGTGTCCTCCCAAGTGAGTATCAAATAAAATGTACATGGAGACATTTCTACCTCTTTGTAGCTTTGTGTGATTTGTCCTTAGAGACCCTTTACCTGCTTACTTAAATTCTCATAGCATTGATATGGGAATGGCCAGGTGTCTTTTCTAAGTTACTTATAATTAATGCTACATAGATGTCAGAAATGACTTCTTGCTAGGCCAGTAAGCCATACTGAGAAAGAAGGGAATGTGTCTAAGCTCTCAGGAACATGGAGAAAGCGGGTTTGGGACATATCAGAAAAGACTCTTGTGGGCTGTGGGTTCCACTGACCCTAGGCAGAGGTCTGAGCAGGTGCTTGGTGCAGGGTGCTGTTGAATTTGCTCTCACTCACTTTTAAAGGTAACTTTCAGAACCTATAGCTAGGGGAAGTGATTTTTCACACTGTTGGGATTCATTTTTACTTATTTCTTTGAGGTACTCCAGATTTCCAGGTTGTACATGTACTAGGTTAACTCAATTGCAGATGTGCAGTTTGGGATCCTTCTGTAATCTTGGCATAGGTTCAAAACATTATTAGTTTCTTTGAGACTTTTCCAGTTTCATTATCCCAAAAGTTGATGGGTTTTTTCCCTTTAACCCAAGCTTTTCTTGTTAGTAACTTGACTTTTACCCTCTATGTCCAGATAAATTCCCCAGGAAGGGAATTATTAGGTCAGAGGGTTTTAAAATGAATTGCTCATTATCTATCCATTTATTTGTTCCTTCCTTCCTTATTCTGCAGTTACCGGGCAACAAAACAGTCTAGATACACTAGCGAGCGTGACACGGTCACTGCCTTCACTTGGTGCCCTCAGTAGGAGTGGGAGGGGCTGGGTGAGGGTGGTGAGTGGCAGCAAGAAAGGCTTTGGAAAAGGGGCAGCGCCCGCACTAAGCCTGATTTATAGGGAAAAAAAAATGACAGCTAGCAGATGAATGAAGAGTGGCAGTCATTTTAGGGTGCAAGACTCATTTTAAGGAAACAGTGTTTCTTTTGAGGAGCTGGAGGCTGGCGGGAGCTGGCGGTGAGGCTTGGTGAAGAAGGAAGGCTGTCCTAGTGGAGTAACTAGCCTCCTCGGCAGCCAGCTCCCAGTCCCCTGGGAGCAGAGTGGCCCCGCTTGGCAATCCCGTGCCAACCCCAAGATTGTGTTCTCTTAATCCTTTTACATAATTCCAAAAGCCTGTCCCCCGTCTGCCTGCCTTCTTTCTAAGATCTTCAGGCTTCTTTTATCTCTTTTCCCCAGACTTTCTAACTGCCTTGAACCTCCAATAAAGTGTCTCCAGACCAATGTTAATAAAACTGTCTTAATTTTTCCTCCAGGCCGTGCTGTGATTAGAATACCCGTACATCAAAACTGAGATCTTTGTAAAATGTGAAGGAAAGCTTTAGACACATCAATAGGGAAACATTAGGAACTTTTTTTAAAAATATTTTCTTTTTAGTTTTAGGTGGACACAATATCTTTATTTTATTTTTTTATTTTTATGTGGTGTTGAGAATCGAATCCAGTGCCTCATGCATGCTAGGCGAGCGTGCTACCACTTGAGTCACATCCCCAGCCCCACATTAGGAACTTTTGAAAGCCTGTTGCAACATGGAACATAGTAGATTAGATCCCTTTTTATTCTTGAAAAGTACCATGTTTGCCAACTTGTCCTCAGACTTTGATTGAAAGTGATCTTCCTCTCATACCTGTGGATCATTGTGTGGACACTAAATTATAAGTAGAGAAGCTGTTTGAATGACATACTCATTCTCTATGAAGAAAACTATATTTTGTTTTAAAGCACTGTATGAAATACTTGTTGTTTAAATTCCTCCAAGTTGTAAGTTTTTAAAATCATTGTGTTGATAATATATGCATCACTTAGTCAAATGGACTTTTTCCCATATTCCTTTCTAGTCTTCTTCACCAGCCAAAAATCAAGAATGTTTATCATTCCTTCTTACTTCTCCCAGAGGACATTGACATTAAGAGAAATGGTAGCGCTGGTATCAACATATTATGGTTTCTTGGTATCCATTGTTCTGTAAGACATCAGAGCTTTGAATTGGACCATGGAAACAAACATTTTCATTTTGCTTTGTTTTGTATGGAAATTTCAGCCCCATGGGGGGGAGGGCCGATTTGAAGAGATACTATAAACAGAAATGGTCTTTTCTTTCAGTTTAAATGCATGGAAATCTTTCTGTTTCGAGTATTCTTAAGGTGCCATACTCTCTCTAGGGTATTTTTCTTGTTTATATGTTGTAGTTTATATTCTGAAGAGAGTTTCTGAGTAAAGTTATAAAGTTTTACTTTATATAGAAGAAATTACTTTTGACGCTGCTAATGCTTCTGGTGTTACTAATATGCATGTGCTAATGTGTACCATGGATTGTGCTTTGAAGATTATTTTATGGGTGATCTCAATTCCCACATAGACTTGAAAAAGAAACTGAAAAGTGAACAATCCAAATACTTTGTCCAGCCTCTCCCAGTTAGTGGTGTCAGACAGAGCTGGGCCACCTTTAAAGCCAGGTTGATACGGTATTAAAAACGTGTCTCCTCTGTTCTCTGCTTTGTCCTCTCATTTCATTGGGTTTAGCTTTTATAAAAGAGGCAAAATGTGAGTCTTTGATCAGAATTGTGCTTCACGAGTACAAGATTGAAGTCCAACTTGAAGTTTAGAGGAAGGGTGGGCTAGAAACCCAGGCGGGTCATTACCGGGCTGCTCTAGTGAGACCCACCGCGGTTGGCAGCAAGTCATGAATGCCCCGCTGCAGGTGAGCTGTGACTTTGGCTGTCCCTACCTCAACATGCTGGGGTGGCGAATGCCTTCTCCGAGTGGACTCTGTCTCCTACAGTGCGGAGCACTGTCCACGGGACCGAGCTGTGGGTGCAGGAGCGGTGGAAGACACGCTGCTGGGCGCTGCCTGCGCTCCTCTGTGGCTTGCACCAGGAGCACCCTGGCTGCTGGCCCCTTTCTCTCCTGGTGCTTTGCGGCCTTTTTCTGGATAGGATGAGAAGAGGCAGGAGAGCGGTGCAGGCCGGGGTGCGGGGTGGGGGCGCAGAGGGCCCGGAGCCCAGCATTTCTAATGACAAGGCTTTGGCGCTGGTGATGCTGAGCACAGCGTTTCCATGTGAACGCCTCCTGGTTTAGTCACAGCAAAATACAGGCACCAGGCAGTGTCTCCTCTGGAGTGTTTGAAATTTAGGGACTGATGGAAAGCTTGACTCAGAGTCGGGCGTGTGAGACTACAGGTTCCACAGTGCGCTCCCTTCCTGCTCTTGAGAAAGCAGTTCTGTATTTTTTTTTTTAGTCCCTCTTGCTTGAACTACTCTGCCTTTGAAACTTGGGTTTTTAACTCAACTATACTTGACCAAAGTACTTATAAGAAGATAGAAGGATAAGAGAAGGATAATAGGATAAATTTGGAAGAGAATTCTATAAAAGTTAAGCTAATTTTATTTTTTTATTTTTATTAATTTTTTTTTTTTTTTTTTTTTTTGGTGCTGGCTATCGAACCCAGGGCCTTCTACATGCAAGGCAGGCACTCTACCAACTGAGCTATATCCCAGCCCAAGATTAAGCTTTTACTCTTTTCGTTCAGTGAGAAACTACGTCATTAAGCCAATTTTAAAAAATGAGAAACACAAGGAAGAATTTACAAGGATAATTCAATAGGCAGTATATAGCCAGTTTTTTTCTTATATTAATACAAGAATGGAGAAAATATTGATTTTTTTTTTTCTTTCCCCTAAAAGGTTATAATATTCTTAGCTAGTCCACCATGAGTTGAAGGGCTGGTTTGAGACTCAGTCTGATGCCCTGGGTGCTCATATCTGTTCTGTTGTTGACACATAGTTCATGAATTATTTGCTTCCTTTTTGTAAAATATTAAAATTAATGTTCACAATAATTGAAAATCATTGCTTGACTAAGCTAAAACTAATAATGGAGGAATTAAAATCTAGTGTTTTGTGAAGGTGCAAGAAAAATTGGCAAATGATTTTGGACCCACTAGTTTAGAATTTCATTTATCTGTTAGAATCTAATCTAATAGAAGCAAACAAAAAAATCCCCACTGATCCTGAAGATAGGAAATTTGAGTTTTTGTTAGTGGTTACTTTTAACTTGTTCAGTGTTTTTTGGGACCAAATATGTAAACTTGAGGAGTGTAATTTTCTTTTAGGCCAACTATGATTTGAGGTGAATGATCTCGTGTAGCTATACTGTTTTATTCATTAAACTAATAGTACACATTTAATACTTTCTCACAGTAGGAGGAGATCTTATAGTTAGGGCAAAAAATTCATACACATGCATAAATTCAGGTGAAAATCCTTTACTCTGTTCATTGAGAAACTACGTCATTGTGTCTATAAGGGAAATATTTAAGATTAAAAATTGAGAGCTACTTAGAGACTGTGTAGATCTATTGAGAAGGAGGTTAACTGGAGCATGGAGGTGTTCAACAGGTATTGTTTATCTCCCTTACCAGTGTATAGTATTGTGCACAATTTTTAGAAGCTACATCTCTTCCTAAAATCAAAATTGTGAACAGAAGAAATGTGATTTAAAACCTGCACTGAAACACAGCTTGCAACTGAGCTCAGTTTCTTAAAGACTGCCTCGCCTGCGTCTTTGATGGCAGGACAGCATCTTCCAGTGTACGAATGATTGAAATAACTAGTTCAGTATAAAATATTTTTTCCCCAGAGTTTTTCTGCTTTTTGGTCCATTTTCCGGTGGCATTTTACAGGGCTTCTGGCTGATTCATCGTCCCTGAAATGGGGTGGAGGTTGCATTCCTCCAGCCCTGACTCTGGAGTGTGCTGGCCCTGAAGGGAACATGTCCAGTTGGGCCTTTTCATATGTGTTTTCCAATTTGAGAAATGTGCACTGAGTATGTGGGTTTGAGATCTAAATATGTAAAATACACACATGTTTCAAAAGGCTGCTGTCATGTCTGTTCTCAGAGTTGAAAACTTTATGACAGTGCCCCAGAGCGCTCAGTATCATTTCCAACATTTATTTTTTTTGCTGCTCACTGATGCCCTTATAAATGTAGTATGGAATATGTAACATGGAGGTTTGGGTAAGTATGGGTGAGGGTGTGCAGTGGAAGGCCTACCTGCCGTGGGTGATCAGAATGCCAGATCAGCCTGGGTTCTCTTCCTGCTCTCAGCATCTCTGGTACCTGTGCAGGCCTGGTTCAGTGCGTGGACAACTAAAGATGTATGAGAAGGCACCTGAGCTGTGCTGTCTCGTAACTACTGAGTGCTTGAAATGTGACTAGTGCAACTGAGGAAGTGAATTTTTAATTTCATTTTATTCTGATTCATTTAAATTTGTATTCAGACAGTCACTGGCACTGATGACGTCCACACTGGACCGTGAAAATGTGGAATATCTCCATCATCACAGAAAGTTCTCTTGGACAGTGCTCTCCAGAGGTCTCATTCTCTGATGCCTCTTGGCTTGGCGGGAATCACATAACAAGTCTACTGTCTCCATAGTGTTTTAATTTATCAAATGGAGGTGGCATGTGGATGGCCTTTGGTTGCCAAGAATATTAACATGTGAGCAAAAACACTGTGCAGAGCTTTGTTTCCTAAGGAAAAAACATTTTAAAAATATCATAGCAAACAAATGATGGCTTTCTTACAGTAATAACTGTTATAGGAGAGCTAGCACAGTTCTTTGTTGATAGACAGAACTTATGCTAATGCATTTTTGCATCTGTAACACACTGTCACCTTTTCTATTTAGGTACTTAAAGCTTTCACCAAAACACCCAGAATCAAATACTGCTGGAATGGACATCTTTGCCAAATTCTCTGCGTATATCAAGAATTCAAGGCCAGAGGCTAATGAAGGTAAAAAACAAAACAAAACAAAATTGAATCATCACAGCAAATAAATAAATAAACAAAAGCTAGTGTTGTGACAGTGATTATAAATGAACACTTGGAATCCAGGTATTCCCATAAACATTAAGAACATCTTTTAGAGTTGATCAGAGATTTGATGATAAACTGGAATAGTCCTTAAGTTGCTGTTTTTCTGTGTTTTTTTACCTAATGCCCCAACACCCTGTGCAGAATAGATATATGACAAGATATATATTGAATGAAATTGTTCTTATATTCTATTGGGAAGTTTTTGTGAAGGGAAATATGTAAAGAATAAAGATGAATAGAAAATAATGGATTATGTGGTTGTGATGGTTTGAAATGGATTGAGATATATATATATATATAATATATATAATATATTTATTGTATATTTATGATATTTATTTATTTATACTTATATTTATATTATTTATATTTGTGGTTCTGGGGATTAAACCCAGGGCCTTGTGCATGCAAGGCAAGCACTCTGCCAATTAAGCTGTATACCCATCCCTGAAATGGATTGATTTAGCTTAACTTAAACTATTGCTAAATCTTTTATTTTTGGGTACCAGCAGCCTAAAATCAGCCTGGATGATTTTTTTTTTAATGCTTATTACCCTTAAAAAATAGTTTTCAAGAATCGCTTTAAAAATAAATAAACAATCAAACAAACAAACAAATAAATAAAAGAGTTGCTTTTAGAGCATAATTAGATTCAACAGCCTTCCAGATTTCTCTGCAACATAAAAGTTTTGTTTCAAGTGATATTTTCATAGAATTATTTAGGTAGTACAGAGGCAGTTTTTAAATTTTTATTAAAAGATACTTCTATTATTTCATTTACCAAACTTACATATAGTGAAAGGAAGTCTCTTTGAAAGAGGCCCCTTCTAATGAGCATTGTCTGACATATACCATTTGGTAATTTCTCATTTTCCTGTCTTTGCAATGTGAAACATCGTTTTCTCTCTATAGAAAACCGTACAGAGGGAATGCTAGTGTTTACTTAAAAGTTGTAGCGATAACCGGAAAAACTAGCTTCTAAAGATGCTTTACTTCATCATAGTTTAGTTTGGTATCGAAGGTGGGGTTTTGGGTGTATATGGCGGAGTACCAAATGGGGGACACGTCCGTGCTGGTGACAGGACAAAACATCTTTTTAAAGATTGAAACACTGCTAATTTCCTTATGTTATTTTAGTAGGCAATTCCAAACTTTTCAGACTATATTTTATGATTAAATTTTAATATTATAGCATTTTTATAATTTAGTATTGAATTTCAATTGTTTTCTTCCCTTGGTTTCTGGAATAATATTCCCTGTATGAAATGTTTTTCTCCAGTGAAGGGAAAAAGGGGGGATTTTAGTGCCTAGGCCTGGATTGTGTCTATTTATAACGTGTTCCAGTGGCTGCCTTGGTTTGGGAGCAATTTTCTTTAGTAATTGGCTCTTTGTCTTTAACCGACTAAGCACATGTGTGTCGGAACCCCTCCTTCTGCCTGCGGTGTCTTCCTGCTGTCCAGTGTTTTTTCATCAGACTGTCCTTTTATACCCAGATCCTCTTGCTGAACAGTTCTTTGAGCTCTTAAAGTTTATGATGTTTTTATTTCTTGGTGTGGCTTTTGAGGGCTGGAGGGTGGCTGAATTTCTTCTGACACTTGGGAGAAAGGGGATTAAAATGAGTTTGCTTTTTCTTTGAGGGATAAGGTTAGGGAAGAAAAAGTGACTCACTTAAGTATAACTCTGTATTCTATTTTTTCCTATCAATTTGTTACTGCCTCAAGTAGCCACCTACACTCAGCTGCCTTCAGAGTGCTGTAACCAGAAAGGACAAACAGCAGTGGATCACACCGTTCAGAACTGCCGAGGCTTTGTATTAAATCACCTATTGGTAAACGAGAACTCCTGTTGCCAAGCAACTCCTCCCTACAGGGACTTGTCACTGCCATGAGACTTTAAAAAACGGTATTCTAAGTCACTCTGGAGCTCAGTGGGTGTCCCTTATGTATGTTGTTGAATGCCTCTTTTCTGTTTAGTGCAATCAAATGCCTTTAATAAGCCTAGGAAATTCGTGATCCATCTCTCTATTCCCCCACACACTCACCCAAATACCGGAAATCCATGAAGAGATGGGTTTGGCATTTTTACATGAAAAGTCACGAGTAGACAAGTTTTTGATTAGTTTTATCAGCTTATTAAATATTTTATAAAATCCAATATGTGTGGACAATTTTAAGACCTTTGAGAACCTACTTCTAAGTAAGGGATTAGATTCCTGGATGCCCCAGCTTTGCAGAGCAGGGGCCAGTGCTGAGATTGGGGTACAGAGTAAACAAATAAGATTTAAAGAATAGGATAAAGGGAAGCTGTTAGCTAGCTAGCTAGATGATAGACAAAGTATGTAATTCTTTTGGTGACAGGCCCAAGTTGATTGATAGTACAAGTTTGTGTGACCTTTTAAGCATTAAAAGAGAAATGAATGGTAATTCCTTTTATAGGAATGGATTAGGTATGACCTGTCTCAAATCTCCTAAGTTTTTTTCAGTCCTGTGATTTCATTAATTTAGGTAATTTACTAAGCTCCCAAGTAGAACTAGTCTGTGGGTAGTTATACTATTCTTAAGAGAGAAATGAATTTATCATTGTTGAAATCTGCCATTATGTGTTCTGAGGTGTATTTCATGGTGTCCAAATTCCTGTTTTTAAATGGAGACAAGGAATCTGGAGATTCTTATGAGTTTCCTTTTTATTCAAGATCCACGCCTTCCCTTACTTTCTGCTGCCCCCAAGACCACTCCCACCCTTGTCTGCCTGCTGCTTTCTCCCTCCCTCCCTCCCCCTTCCCCCCACTCTTCCTCTCTGGTGAAGTGGGAGTGAGGATGGCCGTTCATCATTGTAACTACAAAACTGCATTCTATATTTAATCATCAGTAAATACTCATTATTCCTCTGTTTCCTGCCAATGCATAACCTAGCCTTTAAAAATTGCGCAAGAGTTCCCTCTATTAAAACTAGCAGTAGTTTATCAAAAACTACACTGAGATTTCATCTCACTCCAGTTAAAGTGGCAGCCATCGAGACCTCAAACAGTAACAAATGCTGACGAGAAGGAAGGGAAGGGAGCACTTTGACACTGATGGGGGATTGTAAACTAGTACAACCGCTATGGAAGTCGGCATAAAGTCCTCAAAAGAGGAGGAATGGAACCACCATATGACCCAGCTATACCACTCCTGAGTTAACGTCATCATACTGCAGTGACACATGCACACCCATGCTTATGACGGCCCAGTTCACAATAGCCGAACTATGGAATCGGCCTACGTGTCCATCGGTAGAGGAATGGGTAAAGAAAATGTGGTATATACACACAGTGCAGTTCTATTCAGCCATAAAGAAGAATGAAATTCTGTCATTTGCAGGAAAATGGACATTATGTTTATTGAAATAAGCCAAAGAAAGTCAAAGGTTATGTTTTCTCTCAAGTGCAAGCTAAAGAAGAAAAAGGAAAAGAAAGGTGGTAGCAACCTATTAATTTCAAGATAAGGAGCTACTTTCTGATGGCCTGCTGCTGCCTTCTAGTGGTTAATCTTGACATTTTCTTTATCTGAACTACATACTCCTTTGTGATAGTCTCTAAAACTTTACTGCTCATCCAATGATGGTGTTGGTACCTATTGGTGGTTGTTTTTGTTTGTTTTGTCGGCCGTATGTAATGTAGATACATAAAATTGTGTCAGACTAATTAGTCTATTTCCATTTGGCTCTTGAAAGTCTTGGGAGCCTACCCTGTCTCCTCTTTCTTTTTTCCTTTTAAGAACAACAACTGTGAAAATTTCTCCATCATGCCCTGGCCTCCTTACTGAACCTAGCTATTTCTCACCTGCATTCTTCTGTTAATTTATGAACTTCACATTTCAGCTAGATGTATGTGTTATCATTAGCTTGCATGCAATTCATAATAGGTTAGATCTATTGCTTTGCATTTTGCTCTTTTATTTTTAAATGGCTTGAATCCCAGTTACTTCTCCAGTTCCAATAGAGCTCTCCTAGTTCCTCACCTTTAATTTTTCTGGGTTCCAGTGCCCTCTGCTGCTTATCTATTTTCTCTATGAAATAAGCTAATTGATCATGGCTATTACCTTTTATTAATAAAATGTGTAGACCTGTGAACTTGTCACATCACTTGAGATAATACGCTACAATTTGGTATTTACCTAAGCACCTATCAATTACCTAACAATTTTTCTTTTACATTTTAAGAGGGTGTTTTTTTTAAAAGAGAGAGAGAGAGAATATTTTAATATTTATTTTTCAGTTTTCGGCAGACACAACATCTTTGTTGGTATGTGGTGCTGAGAATCGAACCCGGGCCACACGCATGCCAGGCGAGCGTGCCACCGCTTGAGCCACATCCCAGCCCCTAAGAAGGTGGTTTTGTGTTTATAGCAATATGCAGCGCATACCTTATTCCCATCTTCCTGAAAATATATAACAGTCAAGTACAAATATCTTCACTTATCTGACTTTATTTAATGGTGGTGCTGGAGATCAAACCTAGATCATGTGTGTTAGGCAAGTGCTGTTCCCCTGAGCTTTGTCTCCAACCCTTATTTATATAACTTTAAAAGTTATATAAAAGGGCTGGAGATGTGGCTCAGCGGTAGCGCGCTCGCCTGGCATGTGTGCGGCCCGGGTTCGATCCCCAGCACCACATACCAACAAAGATGTTGTGTCCGCCGAGAACTAAAAAATAAATATTTAAAAAAAAAAAAGTTATATAAAAGACAGCTAAAAGAAGGCAAATCAAAATTCTGTGAATGGTGAAATACTAAGTGGAAGCAAATACATCCAAATATTGTATCTAGCTTCAAAATGTGTAGCCTCAGAGTCCCGTGTTTGCTGAACCAGACGACTTTCTCTTAATGCCTTGTCTGTGAATCTCTGGAACTCAGCACTCAGTTGATAATTCCAAGTCTTACCAAGTCAGATTCCAAAATTTTGAATCTCTTTTCTTTGATGCTAAAAATAATTTGAAATAGCTATTCCTTTATTTCTTCATCTATAAAATAGTTTAATATCTACTCTTCCTATGCAATGAGAATCAGCTCCTTTAGTATTTAAAAGTTCAAGGTTTTTAGCTGAAAAATCCTATAAGAATGCAATGATTAAGACATTAGTTTTTTTATTTATGGATTTTAAAAAGTGAAGGCAAAATAGACATTTTAAGTAAGCCAAAGCTGGATATTCATTCACCTTGGCAGAGCCACACTAAAAAGATACTAAAAGTAGATTTCACATAGAGAGAAAATAATTTCAGGTTCAAACACGTAGGGAAAAATGAAAAACAAGAAATAGTGTAAATATAAATGAGTACTGTCCATACAAAATAGTAATGCCTTCTAAAAATTAAAATGCATGTGTAGTTTTAAAAACTGACAATGTTGCCTACAGATCAGGAAGTCAGTTAGTGGGGTTAATTGTTCTAAGGTTCTTGCCTGAAAGTCCTAACAGTTATGATTAAATTTTAATAAGTCAAAGAAACAGTGGCTGGTAAAGAAATGTATAATTACCTAATAGAGGGGGAAATGGGGCAATAATGTGAAAAATCTTAATCCTAAAAAAGGCAAAAGAAAAACAAAACAAAACAAAAACAAACAAACCAGAACAGGTGGCATGTAGGAAACAGAATGTAGGCTGGGATTTAGCTTAGTTGGTAGGAAATCTACCTAGCATGTTTAAGGCCAGGGTTTAATCTCTAGCAAGCACATTAAAAAAAAGAAGAAGAAAAGAAAGAAAACAACAGTAAAAATGTGTTGACATATTTAAACCAGATTTTTTAGTGATTACCTTAAGTATAAATGGTTTAATATTCCAAATACAAAATTTATGGGATTAAAATATTACTTATAAACAAAAATGAATATATTTATTTGTGAAGCATACAGAATATTGATCCAGGAAAATTGAATATGAAATAGTATGAAGCTAACCAAAAGAAAATGCAAATTTACACCGATATTGGACAAAGTAGTTGGTTGTTTTTTTGTTGTTGTTGTTGTTGCTGTTTGTTTGTTTTTGACAGAGTAGAATTTAAGGAAAGAAGCATTATAAGTAATGAAGCATGTTTCAAACTGTCTTAAATTTACCAAGAAGATGAAATACCTCTGTACATTAATAAATAACTAACATATACATTTTGAAATTTACATATAAAGCAAATTGACAAAGCTAAAAGAGAACTCACAATCATAGACATTTTAACTCACCCCCCTTTGTAACTATTAGAATTGCCCAAAAGAAGAAGTCAGTGAGAAATTGTAAGAACTGAACGGCACATAAACAAATTTTACTCTTTGTGTGTGTGTTAGTGTGTTACCCAACAACTTAGGAATATACTTTTGTTTTCCAAATGTACATGGCATACTTATCAAGAGTGACAGTAAAGCTCTGTCAAAAAGCAAATCTAAAAAGCTTTCAAAAAATGTTGAAATTGGTGGTAAGGTGGCACGTGCCTATAATCCCAGCGGCATGGGAGGCTGAGGCAGGAGGACTGAGAGTTTAAAGCTAGCATCTCAGCAACTTAGTGAGACCCTGACTCTAAATAAAACATAAAAAGAGCTAGGGTGTGGCTCAGTGGTTAAGCACCCCTGGGTTCAATCCCTGGTAAAAAGTTGAAATTATAAAACACGTTTTCCCTGGCCAAAGAAAATAACAAAAGTATAGATAGAAAGTTTTTACTTGAAAATTAAGCAGTACATTTTAAAATATCCCACAAATGAAAAAGAATGAAATGATGAAAATATATCTAAATTTGTCAGATGTGGCAAAAGCTGTGTAGAGAGGGATTTTGTGGCTCTAAAGTGGGTATATTAGAAAAGAAGAAGAGCTAAATATTGGTAATCTAAAAGTATCCACCTTGAGAGTTTAGTTGGGGGGTGGGCAGAGATTAGCAAATTAAACCCAATAAGGCAGAGGAAGGAAATGATCAAGGGCAGAATATAATGAAATAGAAACAAAATTGATAATCCTTCACAAGCAGTCACCAAATTAGAAATGAAATGATAACTAAGTTGCTAAATCTGTCTTTGAACTTGTGATCCTTCTGCTTCAGCCTCCTGAGCTGCTGGGATTACAGGTGTGCGCCACCACACCCAGCAAGTTGTAGCATCTTCATCTATTTGACTCTCTTTTTTTTTCTTTTTACATAATGCCCTATTAGTAATTGTTGTATTCTGCTACCTTTCCTATCCCCTACTATCCCCCCTCCCCTTCCCTCACATCTTCTCTCTCTAAAAGACACTTAAAGACACTCTTGATTCAGTATTATAAATCCAACTCTTTAATCTGACCTTTGTGCTTTTTATGTAAGATAGTGCTATTCTTGGCTTCTTGTGTATTACAACAGTGCAAAATCCCTAGGTTTTCTGCTAGAATTGTTTGTGCAGGTGTTGATGTTTCTCAACACATTTCTTTGTGATAAATCCAAATATTCCTGGTGGAACAGGATTTAAATTCGAGAACTATAATCTCTATCTCTGCAAGAGTTTCTTATCTAGATTCACGTTAATACACTTGCCCTTCCCCACTCATTTTTGCAGTTTAGGCATCCACCGTGTTGGGCCGCAGTGTGTCCATGTGTGGGCATTTGGTGATGAACAAGGCTTTACAGGGACCACTGCCCCACACTCTGGAGCTTATTTGTCTCTTTACTTGAACATCCTGTAAACAAGCTCCAGGAGAGCGGGGAGCCTCGTCCACCTAGCTCTGCAGGAGAGGTGTCAGAGCGAGCGCTGGGTAGTTACTGACTGAAAGCGCTTCTCCTTAGGCGTAGGTCATTTTTTTCTTACAGTGTCTGGTCTTTTTTTCAGCGCTGGAGAGGGGACTCTTGAAAACACTGCAGAAACTGGACGAGTATCTGAATTCTCCCCTCCCTGATGAAATTGACGAGAACAGCATGGAGGACATTAAGTTTTCTACGCGTAAATTCCTGGATGGCAATGAAATGACACTGGCTGATTGCAACCTGCTGCCCAAACTGCACATCGTCAAGGTGGGCCTGTTGGGGGTGTGTCGCCGCCCTTAGGCCCAACGTCGAGTTTACCGGGCTAGCACTTCCTTTATGCTAAAGCTTTTCTGGTGGTCTTCCATACGAGTAGGAAGTCCCCAAATAGTGTCACTCAGTGTGGCTTAGGCATAGCTGAAACACTCAGAGGTAATGAAATGGAAAACATGTCTTAAAATTGAGGCATTTGATAAAGAGGAATATTTTGCTTATTCTTTTCTCTGAGTAAATATTCAAAAACATAATAGGTAAGTCTGACTGGAGTTTGCTACACTGGCTTCCCTTGTCAAATTCCGCTCTGTGATCACCTGGCTTTTTCTATTCCAGTCAAAAAATACTGAGTGTGTCTGATGGGAGACGCTGTGCTAGACAGAACAGTGAGGAGCATTGGTTGTGTATAAAGCTCTAAGATAGAAGAACAATTCTAAGTAGCACGTGTTTTAAAAGCATTTACCCAGTGGGTTCGACTTAGCTCTGTCTCTGGGGCCCTAGTGCTCATTTATAGTCACTATTACATTTCTGAGTCCCTGGTGTAGCTTGCAGCCTTAGTCATTATTTAAAAGTCTAATTAGAATGATGGTGACAGAGACTTAATAATGTGCTCTAAAATCAGACGTGTCTACTTTATGAGACATGGAAAGTGTATGTTGACTTTGGATCTCTTTGTATTTCAGGTGGTGGCCAAAAAATATCGCAACTTTGATATCCCAAAAGGAATGACTGGCATCTGGAGATACCTAACTAATGCCTACAGTCGGGATGAGTTCACCAATACCTGTCCCAGTGATAAGGAGGTTGAAATAGCTTACAGTGATGTTGCCAAAAGACTTACCAAATAAAATAGCACTTACCAGAGAGCTGTCTTCAGATCTTCCCCTAAGAATACGCTTTTCCTAACAGACTGCTCATCTTCCTATAAAGTAGAAATGTGTTTTGCATGAACATGCAGTTATTCAAGATTAGGGTCAAGGATAGACAAGGTATAGTAGTTATCTTAAAGTGTACACTCCTAAGCAGTATTATTTTACAATCCTCCCACCCTGCCTGCCCTCCCTACCAGTGGTGTCCTCCTGTCCTCTAACTTGGAGACCCTCCGTCACAACCCTCCAGGTGAGAGGCAGTGTGCCATCTCTCTGGAGTCCTCACCATTCTGTGCACAGATGGCAGAACTTTTGAGGTGCAGTGTGTAACTGTTAAGATAGTAGCCGTGACATCGGTCAGCCGCAAGCTGGTGCATAATACGTGGTACATGAAGTATTTATGTATTTTTTGGAATTTTGTAATATTTAGTCAGAGTATATGAAAGGATTGCTACTGTATCAGAAATACTCTTTCAGTTGAGTCTATCCTAGATACATCCTGAAAGACACCACCGCCAGAGAAGAGCGCCCGCTACAGAAAGTCACTACAGATCCTGCTGTTCTTTTGTAGACAGATTTTTAGTTTTGTCTAAAATCATTTATCCTTCATACAAATTGTGACATCTGACACTATGTGGAAGGTTTCAAGTTTAGAGGGAGGGATGCTACTCTCAAGATCGCAAACATTTTTTCCTTAGAAGAGAACTGATGGGCATCTGATACTCTAAATGTGTTGTTCTTATGTGTGTTTTGCCCAGTGCCATTCATTTGGAAGAGTATCACCTTCTTTATTTTAAAAAGCTTCTTTTTAGGTAACCACCCCGTTGTTTGTAGATATTTTTGAGCAACACTACATATACTGACACATAGTTGCCATAGCTCTAGCCGTGCAGTGATTAGTAATGTAAAAATTAATGAATACAGAAGTTAGTCTAAAGAATGTAGAGTGGGTTTGTCAAAATGTCAAGTACATTTTGTTTCTAAAGCATATTTAATGTAGATTAAATCTGGAGAGTGCATTATCTATTCTGTTTTGAGAACCATAAAGCATATATTACCAACTCTCGCACCACCTGTTTACTATGGGACTTTCCACAGAAGGTGGTTCTCTTTGTATATACAGATTGCAGTATTAGGGTGAGAGTATGTTCACCCACTTGGCCTGATCTCAGTCTCTGTGCTTCCTTGAGTTAGATTTTTCTGCAGCTGCATTAATTGAGGAATAGCACTCTAGGTGTGGGCTTTTGACTTTGTTATTTAAATTGGAAGTCCTAAATTAGAAATTATTTGTGCTCTAACAAGAATGAACTTGGTGAAAGTGGAACAAAAGTTTGCTATGTGTTTTATTCATTTATTCAAAGCAAAACAAAACCAAGGTGGACTTTCTTAGTACTGCTCCAAAGACTGTGGCTGTGACTGTGATAACGTTTGTGTACCTAACTTGTTTAAGATGTGCTATTCCATGGGCTCTTCTTTCTTTCTTTTTTATTTTTATTTTTTAATTTGCTTTAAGGATTTTAAGAATATTGCTTTAAGATGGCAATGTTTTCTCCCCTTTGATTCGGTGACATTTAGTAAGCACTGGTTTTATGGAAGCAGCCTGACTTTTATAAGCACAACTGCATTCTTTAACCTGTCAGTAATTAGCTTAGTATAGGAAGATAAGAAAAAGCTCCATATTATATCCATTTGGCTCAGGGAGATTCCTTTACCTTACCTTTCGCAGTGCTCCTATTGCTGATCAAAAGTCTGAGCCCCCGTCTTGGATGATTTACCTGGTTCCAGAAAGAAGTTCTGTCCAGCTCCCATCGAGAGTCTGGGTGGCAGTGGCTTTGGTGGGTGCAGGTGTCCCATCTGCACCAGGGCACAGCAGGCCTCAGCACCCTGCAGTCTTCACGTTTTAAACATGACAATGATACCGAACCACACCTATTAGCTTAAAGCGCGAGGGAGATTTAAGAGAAGGGTGTCTGTTCTTTCAGAGAATGGTGGGCCAGGCAGACAGAGTCGGGCGCCTAGAGGACAGCACTGCCCTCCTGAGACAGAGGTGACCAAGAGCCCCTCAGAAACAGCTCCCTGTGGGCATCTGTTCTCTCCGTGGTTTTTATTCCCCAGTGATTCCACTCGGCTCTCTCCACCTGTCCAAGAAAGGCCAGTCTTCTCTGACTTTGATGGAGACAGAATTATTTTTCTCTGTAGAAAAACTGATTTTATTTTTCTACCAAGGAAGTTAGTCAGACATGATCGAGTGGCAACTACATCACGGCTGTAAGAGCCCGCACAAGTTTTTACTCCATCCTGTGTCTGGGGAGGGAGCCTAGCTCAGTCTGGAGAGACTTGGGACATAACAATGTTCTTGGCAATTCGTGTAGTATTTGGCTTGATGTATGGAAATCATCTGATTTTATTTCTACAGCTAAAAAGTAATTCCTCTTCATTATGTTATACTTCTTTGAGGAGATTGCAGTCTGAATGGATAGTCTCACTATTTTCCAAGGGACACTGAGAAATTTATTAAACAGTTGGGAAGCTCTGTATTATTCCAGTTATAGACTTCCTTTTTTAAAAAATTTAGATTCAAATTTTCAGTAAAATTCAGATAAGGTTTTATTTTTTGGTAACTTTGGCTTTCACAACTCTAACCCTTTGAACAATCCGTGTACAATTAAGAGATTTCTGATGTTTATTCTTACACTGAGTGGATCAGTTCTAGAATTTAGACATCTTTATTTCTGTTGAGTTTTGAGCCTCTCCAGAGTTGCATGCAGATAGTTTTAAAATGTCTGTGCATTAAAGAAAAACCCATTTAGAAAGTATCTACAAAGTAAAAATGAGAGGAAATAGAAATTATTTTTTCATGAACATTTTGATACACATTTCATCAAACTAATTGATTCACCAATTTCTTACACTGGTTATAATCAATATTTAATTCAAAGAGAGGGAAGCATTCATTGTTGATATTTATAGGCTTTAAAAATTCCATCCTTTACAGATTATCAAGGTTGGGGCATCCAAAATTGTATTTTTATCAAGGGAGAAAAACAAAACTCCCCAAGCCATAATGTTAAACAGAATTGGAGTATTTTCTTTAGAATTTCCTGAGTAGGCAAATGAAAGCTTATTATTGAGTGCTTGTATTTTCTTTTCTCTCTCTGGAACATCAACACCAGTATATTGCTGGCAGCTATTATATTCAAAAAATAAAATATATTTTCACTATCATACAGTATTCTTTTTTTCTCCCTCATGAGAATAAATAAAAACTTGGGGTAGAAGTATTTTTGAGACTATTTTTTTCTATGAATGTGCAATTCAGCACATTTAATAAGTTAAAGGAAAATAAAATCCATATGATCAACTCAGTAGGTGTGGAAAATAATTCGTTAAAAACTTTCATGAGGGACTGGAGTTGTGGCTCAGCGGTAGAGCGCTCGCCTCGCATGTGAGAGGCCCTGGGTTCGATCCTCAGCACCACATAAAAATAAATAAAATAAATATATTTAAAAATGTTTTTAAAAAGCTGTCATGATACTTGATTATCAAAATAGGACCAGTATTTTAACAAGATGACGACTCCAACCAAGAACCTACCACAAATGTCATGTAAAAGAAGACTTCTCATTAAATTTAGGGATAAGAGTTGCCCCCTGTCAATTACAGCTACAGCTAAACTACATTTCATAGCTACTTCATCTAGAGACATCTTAGCCAGCACAATAAGACAGTAACAGAATAAGGAATGAGAAAGAAGTGACAAAATGACTCCTCTATGCAGGCATATGTGTGTATGTGTAAAACCCAAAATGACCTACAGATTGTTAGGTTAGGAATACTAAGAATTCAACTGGATTTTTATATGCAATACTGAGGAACAAAAGTCCTATTACATATAGTAATAGAGTCACTATATACTAATGTTAGCCACGTTAACAGTTAAAGTTGGTAACACTGATTTCTTCTGAAGGAAACCTAGATGATGGAGAAAAAACAGGATGTGTGTGCCTCTTAGAACTTTTAGAGATTTGTGAATTTCTTACTTGTTCTGAAAAACAAAGTGCTTCAAAGGATCGAAAAGACACTAAACCCTAAGCTATTTAGGATCAAATCTGACAAAGGATTTTCTTCCTTTATGGAGAAAAATCACCAAATATTGAAAGGCCTAACAGAACTCTGCTCCCTGGACAGGTATACCATGTTCATGGTTGGAGAACTCAAAAAGCACAGAATCTCAGTTCGCTTTCCATCACGGGGACAAAATGTAACATAAACAACTCATAAATGAAATGCTTATTTTGGTGCATAATTTCAGCACTTTCAGCCTGTGTTTGTTGTTACTTTGGGCCTGTGGCAGCACATGGCAAAGGAGGCCTCTTCACCTTGTGGCGCCTGGTGAGCAGGGAGAGGAAGGGGCTGGGGGCCCCAGTGTCTCCTTTAAGGGCACATGTCCTAAGGTTTCCATCACCTCCCACAGGCTTGCAACCACGCCTTTAACACATGGTCTTTGGGGAGACATTTCAAACCCAAACTATTTTCCAACAAAACCTCAACAATGTTTTGCCCCCAGATACCCACACGTGGGAGAGGGGTGAGAAAGGAAGCCCGTCCGATAAGATGCAAGGATTTATTAAGGAATAAATTGATGGGCAGGACGTGGGAGGCCACAGCAGCACAGTGTACTGCAAAACAGCCCAGAACACCACCTAAACGGGAGACTCCCTGGGTCGGAACGCAGAAAGGCAGGCCCTCCTCGTGGCCTGGCTGGTTTCTCCCCAGTGGATTCTGGGCCCAGAACTGAGGGTTTTGGCCCACCTAGCAGGGCACATTGGAAACCCAGGACACCCGGATGTACAGCTGATTTTCTTAGAGTTGTGCAGTTTTCTGTTTTTTGTTTTTTTTTTTTTCCCTGAACTCCAGAGCTGCACATGACAGACTAGAAGCTAAGCCGAGGGCTTCTAAAAGGCAGAGGAACGTCTCCTGTAATCTCACAATATT